ATAAAACACTCATATCTCATAAAACCGAAAGACGATTTGCAGGATCGCACAGAGTCGGGCGGAATTCTGCCCGATTCTGCAAATCGTCTTTCGGTCCAATGCGGCACATTATGTTATGTGGAAAGAACACAATATCTTTTTTGGCCTTTTTGATCAATATGAAATTATGATATTTTAACCAGAGACGTATATATCACATGTGATATATACGTCTCTGTTTTTACTAAGGCCATTGAACACTACAATAAGTACACTAAAAAAACAATTTAATGCCCAAATTCTACATATAAACCGCCCGATTCTGCCCGATCCTGTAAATCGTCTTTCGGTCTTGCGCGACCAAAACAGATATGAGTGTTTTTTGTAACACGTCTTCATTTTTCCTTAAAACTTTTCACAATGTGTAACATATGATGATATCAATTCAAAAGAAATTAATAAAAATCATTACAACGGCACTTTTCTAGCCCGATTCTGCCCGATCCTGCCCGATTCCGTAAATCGTCTGACCAACAAGCAGGAAGTGAATTTTCTTACTGTGTACACGTGATCATGTTGTGAATGACTTCCGTGTTGGAATATGCTGAAATGTACGTAGTTTGTTACCATGACAGCGTTGTTGATTTTAAGACAGCAAATCAGAACTGAAATTCTTCTATACGTTTGTAGTGTTAGGTTGGAACTAGCAGTATTTTTGCATATTTAACATTTTCAGTTTGTAACCATGGCAATCACATGTCAGAAATCAGGAAATTTTTGATTTACACAATTTTTATCTCTCTACTATTAATGTAATTGTTATGTAGTTTATAAATATATATATAAACGTAATGATGTCTTTTTCCAGGGACGTATAATACAGTATTATACGTCCCTGTTTTTTCATAACCAATCTGCTATACGTGTATATGTCAAACATGACCAATAATTTCAGGAAAAAGCAAATTAACTGTTTACTATTTCCTTATAGCAGAGCGCAAATTTCATACAAGTAACAAAAAGTGAAATAAAATATTTTTGATGAAGCATATATTATGCCAAATTAACATACGTTTTGTCTAAAATTAAATTTAATTTGTGCAAAAACTATTTCATGTGTATGTTATTTATGCTACATAAGGGTCGATATTATTCCTTTAGGGAAATTTCTGTTGTTCCAGTATTTGATGTTAAATGTAATGGTAAACAACAAATTTAAACAGGTCACTAGTTACAGTGAAAAGGAAATGTTTACAAATGTAAATATAAATTAAACGTCAACATTCTATTTATCTTTTGCCCAATTTGTATTCATATCTACTGTTTACTACCATTTGGTACCAGTTCAATTCTTAAAGGTATTTCATGTCAACAAATGAAATATTGTATAAAATATAAGAACCTTTTCTCCATGGTATTGAGAAAATATCTTTACTAATCACAAATTGTCCGAGGAAATATTTTTAATAATCACAAATTGTCAGAGGAAAGATCTCTGATAATCACAAATTGTCTGAGGAAATATTTTTAATAATCACAAATCGTCTGAGGAAAGATATATTGAATAATTACAAATCATCTTAGGAAATATTTACAGTAATCACAAATCATCTGTTTCTCATCATTGGAAAACAAATGTTTAAACAACTCTTTCTCAATAACCAAAAGGGCAAGACTGCTGATATTTGGCCAGTAGCATGGTAAGATGAATTGCTACCAATTTTGTTCATATTACTGACCTTGACCTACTTTCATGGTTAAAGGTTCACATTCTTTTAATGACATCTTCTCAATAACCATAATGGCCCCTGGTACTAATATTGGGCATGCTGGAATGAAGGGCTACCAAGTTTGTTAAAATGAATGACCTTGACCCAGGGATCTGGGATGAAGGGCTTCCAAGTTTGTTCACCTTTGACTACTGTCAAGGTCATAGGGGTCAAATTTGTTGAAATACATAAGTTACTTCTTTTCAATAACCAAAAGTCCAAGGGTCTTGATATAGGGCCTGTAGCATGCTTTTTCAACAAGCGATATGTCTAGAGTAATGGCATCTTGTAGTGCATGTATAAAGAATAGGATTTCAAGTTTGCAGAAAATGTCTGTATGAACCAACAATGTCTTCTATGTATGCTGTGGTGTAGTTGAGCAATTTATCTTAAGCCTATTTGGCCTCTTTCATATATAGGTCTTTATAGTCAGATGACCCTTAAGGCCCATGGGCCTCTTGTTCCTATAATGCTCTAGTATTTTCTGTGGCAACAATTTTTCCTTACCACTTGTTAATTCTAATTAAACTCTGAGCAACCACGGCAAGATCTTGTACCTATTCCGGGATATACATGTAAATCTATCATATTCATATTTTGACATTCATGTACCTGAAAAGACAAAGATTTGAAAATTATATTCATGGCAAATGTTGTCAATGACACAGAAATACTCTTTGTTCTTTCGTAAGAGTCAACATGTACATCTTATTTTCACATTTTGAACTTGTTTCATCAGTATTTTGTCTCAAAAAAGATTTTTGATGTGTCAGTGTTTTTTTTAATTCAATATATAGAAATCCAAAATTATAAAGGAATCAAGACAATTAACATGCTAGATGATATCACCTGCTTCAACTCCCTAGCATGGTGTCCTCACAGTCAACATGGTATGTCTCATTTTCAAACAGTCATCATATACATGCTTCTATACCTCAGCTGAAAGATATGGATCATACCCAGCCATGCACTGCAACATATGATCATACCCAGCAGTGCACTGCAACGTATGATCATACCCAGCCGTGCACTGCAACGTATGATCATACCCAGCCGTGCACTGCAACGTATGATCATACCCAGCCGTGCACTGCAACGTATGATCATCCCCAGCCGTGCACTGCAACGTATGATCATCCCCAGGCGTGCACTGCAACGTATGATCATCCCCAGGCGTGCACTGCAACATATGATCATACCCAGCCGTGCACTGCAACATATGATCATACCCAGCCGTGCACTGCAACGTATCATGTGCTTAGTATTCCTTGATACATCAACAACGCCAGTTTGATTAAGATAGGAATTGTGATTTCTTCAATACTGATCAATATGATGGAATTCTCTCTGATCAACAATAGATTTTGTGCATATGCAACTTTTAATTTGAAAAAAGCCAATCTAGGTATTTCCATAGCTGATCACATTTGAAGTAACTTCTTAATCCAAAGGAAAAGAATTGGCCATCATGTTCAAAAAGTATTAACACAATCTGAAAATTAGTTTGTGGAATAAGTTGCAAGCAAATTTCATATCAATCAAAATTATGAACAATGGTGATTTTGTGATTCTTGACAACTTTTTCAATGTCTATGTTATATAAGGGAAAGAATTGTCTCTTTCCTAGTCTTTTATTTCTAAATGATATAGAAACTTATCATATATTGTGTGGTATTAAAATCGCACGAATAAACTATATACAAATACATACTTGCTGTACCAACACCCACACCATATTGTGTGGTGCATAGAGACCTTGAATGACATGCATTGATGGCCAATAGTTCTTTTTTTTCAACAAATTTTCACTCAAGGTGTATTTTATACTGAAGCAAAGTAACTGCACAGATTTAAATATATGAAGTTTATGAAGGTGATAATTACACATATGGCAAAATTCACGAATATATCCTTGACCTCCATCGGCTGTCAGGTATATTGCCATACCATCAACAGATGGAATGTAAAGAAGGGAGGTAACTCATTGATATCAGAATGTATACATCACTTTAAACAATCTTGGGAAAGTTGAACATGAAGATTTATAAGAGTGTAAAATTACTGTGTTTTCAAAAATGAACTAAACTGTGTCCAATGTTAAAAGGAAAACTTGAACCCTCCCGGGTAACCTGTTGTAGATTGTGTACATGTATCTACAATTGTACAGACTATCACTGGTTAAGCCTGAATCGTCCCGACATTCTTTCCATTTACATATTCGGTTTTTCGTAATACAGTTATCTGCTCTTGTGAGCAGATATTGATCGTTACTTTGTGAGAGTAATGTTATAAATTTGTGAGGAAACGACATCAAATAGACGGAATATGAGCCTGGAGTCAATAACCAGATCAATATATAGTTGTATAGAATACATGGTCAGTGTTGGATATTTTAGCGAGCGTGAAGAATGACAAATAGAGGGAGCCACTGTTGTCTATCCCGAGCTAAAATGCAGCTTATATCTTATTTACCATGCAACGCTGACTGAAAATCAGGCGATCAAAGCTTAAACAGATTGTTGTTAATGTTTTCCCAAGGATGACATTACACTGAATTTAGCCTGGTGATGTACACCAAAATAATTGCTCCATCCGCAAATATACTTGTAAACTCTAATGTAGATTACAGTAATTTGATAATTTCAATGAATTTGTTCATTACAAAAAACAAGATGGTTTACTGCAACAATTATTTATATTTTAAATGTAATATTTTAGTTCATTCATAAAAAGTAATTATGTTGAATAAATGCTAAAATACAGTTATTTTCACATCACTCCAGAATACAGGGCAAATATATGTGCCAGGTGAAATCTGATGAGGGCAGCCCCAGTTGTAGCATAAAAGAAAGTTAATGTAACATTGAATTATTGGATCAAACCTCACCGTTCAGCAAAAGTCGCATACCACCATCAATTATATCAGAACAGCTTAATGCACCTGTTGTAATGCCAAATTCATTTGCCTGGATGTTTTGATAAGTTTTGCAACTATCCCTTTGTATGTCCCAAATAAAATTATCAATGTCAGAACAAAATATATAAGTTAATTTGTGGAATACATTATACATCTGACGGAAATTTTACAAAAAAAATGTGGGAAAATTTATCTATGTTTTGATAAGCCAACTGAAATCACCAATTTAATATGCTTCTCAGGCCTTGAATGAATAGAAGGGGAGATAATATCAGCCAAAATCCATTATGTGATATTTCAGAAATAAATGTAAAATTAAAAGAAAAATCTCAACAGAAATTTTCAAAATTTTATTCTTAAAAGAATTAATTATAATAGCACATATTTGGACTTAGGTTGGTCATGTTGAATTTTTTGTAACTGTGATGAAAACCTGTATTTTCATACTCCATATATCCTCTGTCATTACAATTATGTAACAAAGAATCTGACGTCCATGGAAGAGAAACTGGTCCATCAGCACTCTTATTTATCATGACCTTTATCGTATACAATGAGAATTGTTACAAGTATGACCAATAGTTTCAGTGTGGACAAGTAATTTGACCGACCATCTTGTATACGTCCAGGCAGATCTGTTCAAACTTGTCCCTGGTCAGTTGGGGTAAGCTCCAAATTACATTATCCGAAATGGTCTTTCTTGCTGCAAATTATTATTTACAGCACTTAAAAGTTCTGTCAGTGACCTGTTTACAAGACCTTCAGTCACCATGTCAGATAAACAAAATTTTCTACACATGAAGGTCACCATGTCAGATATACATTATTTTCTCCACAGTCTTTCTGGACATCATTTGAACACTACAGTATGAAGCATAGCTCCTAAACACTGCACTATATTGGTTGTCATAAGAACATCCACATGCTCCTCCAGATGGCGCTTTGGATCCTGTCACACAAAGATAAATAACAAAGCTTTAGTGGGTAAATAGAAAAAAAATACATAAGCATCTGTTTCATCTCAATAAACAAATTCCATTTTATCCAAATAAATAAACAATACAAAATATTTACAACTTATCTTCATATTCCACCTTTTGGAATGCATAGTCAAATGTTCTAGAGAGTGGGTATTGTTGTCATGTGAACAAAATCATGAGGAATTGGTGTAATTTTCTCAGGAAAACTAATAACACAACAATGACTACCTACTGACAAGAGCAGATAACTCTGCATTACAAAAAAAAGAAAAATTTCAATGTATTATCCAAAAAAGTGAGGCTTTAATTCCATATTTTTCAAGCTTTATCAACAGTGACAATGAGTAATCATATGCTTTAGTAACAATTTTGGTTCAGTTACATACATCTACGGTTTTTATTTACAAATATAATCAAGACAGCAATTTATACCAGCTTTTTCTTAACTATGATAATTTGTCTTTTACAGTTTATTCCTAATAAATAGTTCATCTGACCACCAAAACAAAAAGGAAAGTAATGTTCTTTTTATTCATTTATCATTCATATTTGACATATAATGATCTTTCCATCTTTTAAACATTCAGAAGGAATTTGTACCACATACCAGTTTGCCAACATTTTTTATAGCCAATTGTTCCTGGGTCATATTTTCTTCTTCCTCCAGAGCCTGTGAAATGAGAAGAAACCATATTAAAACTGTATATCAATGTTAAAACAAGCCTATATCACAAACATTTTAACAATTTTATAATGCAATGGTATACTTTACCATCTCTATAACACAATACAGCATACCAACTTAACAACAGTATACCAAACAACATACAACTTTACAGTATACCAAACATCATACCAACTTAACAACAGTATACCAAACATCATACCAACTTAACAACAGTATACCAAACATCCTACCAACTTAACAACAGTATACCAAACATCATACCAACTTAACAACAGTTTACCAAACATCCTACCAACTTAACAACAGTATACCAAACATCATACCAACTTAACAGTATACCAAACATCCTACCAACTTAACAACAGTATACCAAACATCATACCAACTTAACAACAGTATACCAAACATCATACCAACTTAACAACAGTATACCAAACATCATACCAACTTAACAGTATACCAAACATCATACTAACTTAACAGTATACCAAACATCATACCAACTTAACAGTATACCAAACATCATACTAACTTAACAGTATACCAAACATCATACCAACTTAACAGTATACCAAACATCCTACCAACTTAACAACAGTATACCAAACATCATACCAACTTAACAGTATACCAAACATCCTACCAACTTAACAACAGTATACCAAACATCATACCAACTTAACAACAGTATACCAAACATCATACTAACTTAACAACAGTATACCAAACATCATACCAACTTAACAACAGTATACCAAACATCATACCAACTTAACAACAGTATACCAAACATTCTACCAACTTAACAACAGTATACCAAACATCATACCAACTTAACAACAGTATACCAAACATCCTACCAACTTAACAACAGTATACCAAACATCATACCAACTTAACAACAGTATACCAAACATCCTACCAACTTAACAACAGTATACCAAACATCATACCAACTTAACAACAGTATACCAAACATCCTACCAACTTAACAACAGTATACCAAACATCATACCAACTTAACAACAGTATACCAAACATCATACCAACTTAACAACAGTATACCAAACATCATACTAACTTAACAGTATACCAAACATCATACCAACTTAACAACAGTATACCAAACATCATACTAACTTAACAGTATACCAAACATCATACCAACTTAACAGTATACCAAACATCATACCAACTTAACAACAGTATACCAAACATCATACCAACTTAACAACAGTATACCAAACATCATACTAACTTAACAGTATACCAAACATCATACCAACTTAACAGTATACCAAACATCATACCAACTTAACAACAGTATACCAAACATTCTACCAACTTAACAACAGTATACCAAACATCATACCAACTTAACAACAGTATACCAAACATCATACCAACTTAACAACAGTATACCAAACATCCTACCAACTTAACAACAGTATACCAAACATCATACCAACTTAACAACAGTATACCAAACATCATACCAACTTAACAACAGTATACCAAACATCCTACCAACTTAACAACAGTATACCAAACATCATACCAACTTAACAACAGTATACCAAACATCATACCAACTTAACAACAGTATACCAAACATCATACCAACTTAACAACAGTATACCAAACATCCTACCAACTTAACAACAGTATACCAAACATCATACCAACTTAACAACAGTATACCAAACATCATATCAACTTAACAACAGTATACCAAACATCCTACAAACTTAACAACAGTATACCAAACATCATACCAACTTAACAACAGTATACCAAACATCATACCAACTTAACAACAGTATACCAAACATCCTACCAACTTAACAACAGTGTACCAAACATCATACTAACTTAACAGTATACCAAACATCCTACCAACTTAACAACAGTATACCAAACATCATACCAACTTAACAATAGTATACCAAACATCATACCAACTTAACAACAGTGTACCAAACATCATACCAACTTAACAACAGTATACCAAACATCCTACCAACTTAACAACAGTTTACTGTAAATCAAGTGAGTGTTACAATCAGTATATCCACCTTGTGGTAGTTCTTGGCCAGTTCCAGCATCTCTTTAACAGTATTCTCGTTATTTGTACAGTGCGTGTTGTAATCCTCCAGAGACAGACCATCCACCCAACTCTTCTTGTGTAAGTTAAGCAACATCTACAAATGTCAAGGATAAAAATATTAATAATACGAGTTATTTCCCCCTAGATTTATTGCCCTGTTTGATTATTTGATTTAGCTTGTGGTTACCTCAACTTAACTATATTACACTCTTCAAGAATACTTAAGACATTAGTTTAAATTGTTCTTTAATTCTATAGTATTTCACATTGTACCTATACCAGACTGTGGTGTTTCTAACAACAGGAATATTACCTTCTGTTCCAGCTCATTTTTCCTGTAATTGATTGCAATCGAGTAGTAATGTCTGTTGAGTCCATGTATCAAAGCCTGAAATATAAAGTCATAGACTTACTCAATGTATCATAAAATTAAATATAAATTATTATATCAAATTAAATTAGTCGTTTGGCTAAACATGTTTCATCCTCAATAAAGAATGTTTATCATTTTCATTATTATTATAAACACTTCTCTTATCTAGAATTTGCAAAAGAATGAATATTACTGGCAACTGGCATCTTTATTATGCATGAAATAAATATTGTGTTTTGCTAAAACACAAGAAAAAATTAGTTCCTGATGAACGATTATAAAGATATACATTTGATCATCACATCAAATGAGGTTTAAACAATTAGACAATCAATCATGTGATCATGTGATCATATGACCACTACCAGATATCAAAGCCTTAAGTAACAAGTCAAACATTATAATAACTTTCATCTATCTCACAGCACCAAATTCTACAAAGTAATTTCCTGGCAACAGTATCAATAGGAAAATAAATTTCCTCACTGAAATAAGTCCTTGTTACAAGCATGTCTCCAGTATTATATAGATACCTACCTGTATCGATGGTTTATGGAGATGCCCCAGGTTAGATGTGGTCTGTCTAGGTTCTTGACCCAATACCATCATGTTTGGGTTGATCAGACGGAAAGCATCTATCACCACCTAGATTTAATACAAAGAAACTTATACTACATTTTACAAATGTATAAAAATTTAAAGAAGTCAAAAGGTTTACAAAAAAGTAATATTAATACACATTACAAATATATGAAAACATTTCTAAACCGAAATGTAGTAACCGTTTCTAAAAATAAAAACAAATTCTATTCACCAAATAAGTATTACAAGAGGCCTGGCGACCTTGATGGTCCCCTGAGATAAGCAATATTGAAAATAAAGGTTAAAGGATAGTTATCAAGTGTCATAAAACAGAAGTTGTTACACTGAATATAGTAAGCCAGTGTCAATATGTGAAACTTACAGTACAGTCTAAAAAAATATTCCTCCCCAGGGAGAAATTTGAGACTCATTTTGGTAATTAATGCACCTTAAGATGCTTCCATGCATAAAGAGTATTTGATTCTACCATATCTGGGTGTTGAGAAGAAGATTTTTGAAATTTAAGTCAATCTGACCCCTTTTGGACCCACCCCTCAGGCCCCTTGGGGGTGGGGGGGGGGGGGGTTGGTGGTGGGCTGTATAATTTTCAATTTTGGTTCATCTTAAGTAAGGAAAGATTTCTGCAAAATTTCATTAACATCAGATCAGGGGTTTTTGAAAAGAAGTAGAAAATGTTAAATTGTTTTTGGACGCATGGCACTGATGAAGGTGATTAGAACAGGTCACCATGACATTTTGTTTCAGGTAACCTAAAAATTCTGTTATCAATATAAATGTATGCATTGTACTTCATTTTTGTTTCATTTATATTTGAATTTTTATCAGGAAAATATTAAAGTTGACAAGTAATGATGAAGAACCAAGAAACAACCAATTTAATACCTACTTTGCCCTTCACACTCTGAATTGGGTCAACAACAACAGCCACGGCACGTTCTGACAGGGCTTCAAAACTCTGTTGAGTATTGATATCTACACCAGACAGCCAGCAGCCAAACCCGGGATGAGAATGATACCATCCTACCACCATCTCTGGTCTGTGAAAAATCATACATGGAATATGTAAAACAGTATTTCCAAAGAAAGGCGTTCTAATTGATCAAATGAACTGACAACAAAGTGGCCATTACTGAAAATCCTAAGAGCTGAGAGCAACTGGTCTTCTCATCAATTTTTACTCAAAAACAAGAAAAGACAGTAAAAAATATTGTGTTCATTGTGCATAGCCATCATATACAGCAGTGATAAGATTTTTAATGCTTTTTGTGCTGAGCACATTTCACTACAATTATGACTGATTGCCTTAATTTCTGTTTACCTATGCCATTTTTTTATTTCAGTTATTGTGAGTAAGCTAAATCATCATTGCACTTAATATCTAAATAAATAAATTTGGTTATGCATTAAAATTTGACAGCATCAAAATACTGGTATATATACAATAACTTCTTTACCAAAACCAGGAGGTTGGCTATTTATAAGAAAATTCAATGACTTTATGATTTTACTGGACGGCAGTGGGCTTATTACCAGACAGACATGTGCTGATTGCTGGATAAATAAAAGTTCACGTTATTTAACACAGAATATGGGAGAGTGAATGGACCAGTTTAAATGTTAACAAGCACATCCTTTCAATGAGAATCTCCAAGAGAAATTAAGGTAATGTTCAGGTTAACAAATTTAACTCTAAAAATTTGTATATTAAATAGATGTTATAAATATACCATATATGTAACATGTAAATAAACATTCAAATTCTTGATGTTGACTCTATTTATCTTTTTCATTTCTTTTTCTTATTTTCCATCTATTTTTTTCAGTATTAAGAGTGCATCTATGAATCAACTTGACAATGAAACAGCATCATTTCAAGTTCTCAATACAGTGCACTGAATCTCAAAATACTTTTTACCTGTTCAAACTTGACCATAGCTTATAAAACTTACCTGCCGGTCTGTTTAAGCATGTCCAACATTTTTGCCTGGAAAACTGGGTCGACTGCTTCAACACTCACTCCCTGAAATGTGTAATATTATTATGACATTCTTAATGGCCAGTCAACACATTAAAGGTCATTATGGCCATCAAATGGTAAAACACACAGCGATCCAAAAAGGAAATAACATCAAACAAACTAAAAAGTAAATGAAATGTGTAAAGACCATAAGAAATATTGGAATATGAAAGCTTTACAATGAAGTTGAAGAACAAAATCTAGAAGTAATTTGGGAGTAATACTCCACTCTTGTGTAATACTCATTAAGTATAAAGACTTGTCCTATGTATAGCAAAAATACTGATAAAGAAGAATTAGTCTAGACTATGCATTTTTTACTATGGATTTGTTTTCAGTTTTACCTGAATGTCCTCACAACAGCCATGATCACATGACAACTGTGTCTATGGTAATTTGTGCCACTATTGGACACTTATAGTGCTATCACAATGAAATGTCATAATATGGAAAGAAGCATGACATCCCATTCAGTCAAATTATACTAACGACAGACTTACATAATGTACCAATCTTTAAACAGCCAATTCAATGCTGAGAAATAAGCACAGCATAATGTATCTTCTCAATGATTATGATATGCATGCTGCAGGCGTAACCTATAACTTTCCTCGCCTATAAGGAATATCAAACCTATCATTGACTGTTTCAGCTGAGCAGGCAAACATATCAATTGCCCAGACTAGGGTAACTTACTGTTCCTGACTGGGGCATGGCAAACACATCAATGACTCGGACTGTATAGTCGTCTACAAACTCTCCAAGCATTAGTCCCATTACCTCCATGGGTACGCCTGCTCTTCCATGCTTAAGCATCTTAAAATAGAAGCAATTTTTAAATTGTTCATAAAAATTATGAAAAAGTTTTTTTTTTCTACACTTGAAAAATTTATTAACAGGTAGTCTAATCTTTCAAATGAAGATATTGCAGACCTCATATAAATGAAGATACTTACCTTGAGGAGGGCCAATGATGAGATATACACCTGCTCAGCAGTGTCAACAGCTGGAGCATCTGTTGGAGGCGCACCCTGTAATATGGTTATTAAATAAAAAAAAATATTGACAAATACCTGACACTGTGATACTTGCTTAAATGATAATGTCTACTTTATTTTATAAACAACTCCGCCTAAATATAATTGTTTCAAAATTATTGCATATTTCCCTTCTGTTCATTAATAATATAGTATATCCCCTATTTTTATGCAAATTTAACAAGTATTTTAATTCTTATTCAAATGAAATTATTAAAAAAAAAAAGATTTTCAAAGATGCTTCATTATCTTGAGGCCAGAAAGGTTGATCAGTACAAATAAAGCCAGTAGTTGTTACAGTATAAAACATTACCTGACCAAGTCCTGGCATTCCTCCTCCTAATCTTAAAAGTCTCTCCATTGTGTTCCAAACAATATAAACTATTCCTTACTGCAACCTACAAAAATAACAATATTTCAAATAAACTGCTATTTTGCTAATCCATACACTTAATATTATTTTTATCATAAATACACAGAAGTCCTTTCAACTTCTTTGAATTTACTGTAAATAAAAGCGCTTGAATTGACATGATTTTTGTTGGACTCCACAGTTTGAAATTCGATGGCCACTTTAATTGGATATTGAAAAATATGATCTGGATTTAACTGAAATAACTGAAAAAGTAATGTGAAGTAAGCCTATTTTACTCTTTATTTTGAACACCATTTTAATCTACTGAGCTTTTAGTGAAGCAATCAAAGTCTCACCAACCTCTTGTCAAATAATATCCAGCCATAGCCTTCAAAAATCAAGAGTAATGGGTACATGTTTCAAAGGGCCATTAGGTAAAAAGACTTTATAATCAATTCTATTGTATAGTTATCAAACTTGTATGTATTTAGATGATGGTTGTTGTCATGTTCAAACATAATTTTGACTACCATATTTTCCAGGTTATAAGCTGCACTGGTATATAAGCTTTACCTGTTTTTTTTTTCAAAAAGTTTGTTGACATAACAGACAATGGAGGGCAATTTTTCAAGATCGTCAGTGAAACATTTAAAAAACTTTGCAAATGAGTTATTCACAGATAATCCTTTATTTCATTGATGTATTTCAAAAATCGTTAAATGGAAAATATTGAACTTGTTTGGCTTTAGTCTTTCATAGATTGTCAATGCACAGATATAGGGCCTGTAGTTATGAATGGTTTTCTCAATCTTTCCATCGGTGTCCTACTATTAAATATTAAAGAAGGCCCTTGTATGCTGACCAAATTCTTAGTCCAATATTATTTCTTCTTGTAAGTTACACAAGGGCATTTATATTGCAAACAAGCATGGAGGTTATTCTAGAATTTGACCTATAACCTATGACCTGTTGATCCAAGGATACAAAAGGCTATAGTAAACTTCTCCTTGGGCTTCGAAGTAACTGCAAAAGTCCAGAAGATATTATTGTGATTTATAAAAAAGGTATGGTACGTACTCGTTAAAAAAAAAAGCACCGTGACATACTGGTGTATTGGTCACTCCAAAATCATGGATGAAATTAAAAAAATGTCGGAGCTAGATCACAACAAAATTTTTCTGAACATTGTTTTAGAACAAAAATTCAGGGCAAGCTCAGACAGCCAAATGATGGCAACATTTCAAATTTTAAAAGGAACACCAAAGGTAATAAAAACTTGTTTACATTTCAATATACATAAATCTACAAAAATGTTAACTTAATCTTATCAATTGTCGGAGACACCAAGACAAAAAGAAATCTCAAATAGATACCCAGAATTCTTCAGACTAGCACGACGTCAATATCACGTAAACATAAACGTAAAATAGGGTCAGTGTCCTAAAGCTGTATTTTAGCTCAGGACAGAAATGCGAAAGTAGCTCACCACTGTAGTTTTTTATCCTCGCCAAAATACAGATTATATAGACCCTATATGTTTTTTTCTGACACGGACCACGCCATCTCCTGATCGATCGTTGTTGGTGTGGTCTATTTTCTTTGTGCTTGGATTTCAATCTACGAAAATCTACACTACTTTTCTCACAGTGTCATACGATATTTTCAATGTTGAAAGATGCAAGTAAATATTCTATTGTATTCTTTAATAATGACAAAACATCAAGTTAAATAAGATTTTAGAATGAATCTGGTAAAATACAATCCGGACGCTTGTTACTGTTTTTGTTATTGGCGGATTTTAAACATGTACCGTCATGAACGACTATTTTCACGAACTATTTATACAAACGTAAACATGTGGTTCGATTTTAAAATAAAACACGACAAATGCCCTGAAAATCATCTGTAAGAACATTAAACTTAAATATATTACCTGCCTTCAACCGGCCCAACTTGCAAAATTTTACCGGAAATACATTGAATGTACTAAATTTAGAGACGTAAACTTCGAATTCCGTTTTTGTATTCCGGAAAGCCAACTACCGGGGAATGTACGTCACAGCTAACTCGGTGGTGATGGAGAAAAGCCATAGGGATAAGCTGCTATTGTTATCGAATACCTTTTATCATATCAGCGCATACGGAACTTCATTCCGTTTTCGACCTGTACCTTCATTTGTCAGTTCACCTAGCACTGCTCAGTGGAGGGGCCTTATAGTTAAATTCTGCAAATTCTTCCAAATTCTTAGTTTAGTTTAATACATACATTTGGGATGGGGAAACATATTATATTTGTTCCTCTTCCAATTCTTCAATTATAAGATTTCGTTCAAAGGATCAATGTTTCAAGGGGACTCAATTAAGGTAACAAAAACAAAAATATGTATTTCTGGCTTCTGCATGAAAAAATAGGATTTATGGATCAGGACAATTCTCTTTTAATAGTGTTTTCTTGCTTTTTACTTCAGATACAAAGTATGTTTTATTTTGAGATGTTTATCGGAACGTCTACATATATATTGATAATTAAAACTGACAGCCTTTCCGGTACTATTTTTTGCCGAGCTTCGGGGCAGATAGAGGCAACATACATAGACAAGGTAATTAGTATTTGATTAAGTGCGACTTTCAGCCCCTAGCCCCGCCTCAACTTTTAAAGGAAATTAAAACAAAATACACAGTTAATAGTTTGGTCAAAATCATCATTTTTAAGAAAGTGCATAATAGATGTACATTTGTCCGGATCTCCGGATCTCCCGATTTCACCTTTAGTTTTTGTGCAAGTTTATGATGTTTTCCGTTTGTACAATTTTGATTTTCCATTCATTGTGTCTTGTGTGTGTTGGTGTTATTACATCAACTGGCAGGAGGTTCGAGAAAGGAAGCTCATATGGAGCAACATCTTGACCATGGATGGGCAACGCATTTCTACTGGGATCTGTTATTGGTGTGCTACCAAGAACAGCGAACCTTTGTACACGGGGTCTCATTGAAGATCCGAATGTAGATCTGAACGTCAGGGTGAAATTCCCATTGGAAATCATCACCACAACTGAACAGGTCATCATTGTGGAACTGATAGTACCATTGGAAGAACTTATCGAGGAGGCATACGAGCGGAAGAAGGCAACATATAAGGAGATGGTGGATTATTGTCAGCAGAAGGATTAGTGGGTACTGTCCTTCCCTGTGGAGGTTGGCTGTAGAGGATTTGCTGGTTAGTCTTTGTGGAGGGCCATGAGGAATATAGGTGTCAGCGGGAAAGACCGGATGTATCTGATTGCAATGTGCCAGCGAGCAGAGTCAGCATCAATGTGGCGGTGGAGGAAGCGGGCAGAATCGCAGACATCAAAGTGTTGTGTAACTCTTCAGAATCACTCCAATATAGACTTTGTGATTTGGAGTGAAGTATGTGTGATATCTGTATAGTGATAACAACATCAATCACAAGAGGACTGTGACAACATCACCAGTGGTACATGGTGGAACAGGCTAGACGGTTTCAGGCTAGGATCTGATCACCCTAGGGGCACCTCTGGAGGTTGTAGTGGACAACACCGAAATAACCAAGTATGGAGGATTTACCTGAAGATGGAACCATCTGACACCAAGAACATCAAGATGTATGAAGTTAATAATGATAAAAGCATGCACATATTACTTTCTGGGGACTAGGAAACAAGCTCGGAGCCTAAGTTAATTCCTTGTTAAGTATTAATGGGACAAAATGTCTGAAAAATCTGCAAAAACGTCTTTAATATGATCTGCTCAAGAGTTGAATTCCTACTTCAAAACAGTCGAGCAGTTTCGGATATACAGCAAAAGACAAAGCAACAAAACAAGAGCAAGTTTATAAGTTCACCTGAGCCGGTTAAGATGGGAAGAAATGTGTAGAGATTCTTCCTACGAAGTCGTGAAATCATGCAGTTTTTTATGAAGTTAAAAACTATTTAAACTGAGGTATGTTTCAGCGCAATTAAATTGAATTTTGACATAATCTTGTAAAGAATTTTCATATGTGAAAAAATTGTACAGATAGGAAGCTTTAGGAAGTTAAAAATTCAAGAATATATCAACATGGCAACACAAACTCAAATTACATAAAACTGAAGCAAAATATGAACAAAAGGAAGATTTACAGGGCAACTCGTGAAAAATTACAAGGAGAGTAAGATAAGGTGTTCCGGAAGAGTAAGCGCCATGTAATGTCACGATCTCCAATGGGAACAAGATATACAACAACGGAACCAACAGGCAAGCTAACCAACATCAAATACGTCCATCCTCATGTCGCACAAAGAAACAGAATATTTCTCAATGAGATCACTATGGCGACCATAAAACTTCCAGTCATCAGTATATCTGAAGGTCAAATAAAACGACTTTGCAAGGTCTTGGTGACCTGTTTTTGATCAGCTCTTCAATAAATTCAACCTCGTATGAAGGTAGTCTGTGTTGTTTGGTCCTCTTTGGGTCAAATTTTCGTTCTAAACTATCGAGGAGGGTTGACATCCTTACATGGTGACAGTACATTGTGTCGTTAATCAAAACAGATATGTAGTCATTATACTGTTGATCGTTAACAGCTGACACTTGTGTTGCGCACGACTTTCTAAACTTTAATACAAAGTGATCGATTTGATTGATCATACTAAGGTTCCAAACGATGAAGAGGTCTGTGTGCATTCCACCATTTTGTGATGACGTGCACACTCATAAGTGGAAGCTCTGTGGGAGCAGTCCATCTGTCGTTTTAAACTGAATCATACAGGTCACGTAGTTAGAGGTCAGAGGTTAGAGGTCGGAGTCGGGTAGATAGTCCTGGAGTGAAGCTGAATATCTTCATTACACATCAAGAGAATCAATATAGGGACATGTCGCGTACAATATAATCCCTACAAAATACAGTGACATTGGTTATGTGATTAAATCAACACAGACCGCTGGATTTTAACAGTGAATACAAACGAATCGTAGTGAAACCAACTTTAAATAAAAAGCAACTTATTGATCAGCAGCAAATACAATATATATAATAATAATAATAATAAAAACATTCTTTTTAGCGAGTTAACAGATGTTGCATCAAGCCATATTTATACTGGCAGCCATTCTTTTCTAGAAATAAGTAATCCTACTCATGGAATGCTATTTCTTTCTTCATTTGCTCATTTGAACTTCATTATTTAGTTTACAGCTGTGGGATAGCACAACGGTCCACGATATGTGCAAACTGACTGCAGGATGACTGCATAATAGAAAAACTGGATGAAATAAACTATCGCACATCTGTGTTCACGTTATGTGGTTCTATCCCACAGATATGCGATTCTGTCGTTACTTTCATTTAATATAGTTTTTCTGTCTTTTTGTAAATATACACTGATGTAAATCTGAAGTGTTGTGTTTGTTACACGGGACCAAGACGACACGGATCTGGATCTGTTACGTCTATACTTGTAAAAACCTGATTTGTGTTGCCCTAGTCACACCACTCGCCACTCTCTGAGGCGTAAAACTATACGACAGAAAGACTAATAAACGTAAGGTCCAGTGTTATTTCGAACACTGTCGGCTTAGAAATGACTTTGATAATCACCGAACAATTTTGATAGACTTATGATTGCTATTCAGTCATAGGAGACCATCCTTTTAACTGAACCGCATACATTGTGCAATCCTATCGCAGAGATGTAGGCTAGATACTGTTTAGCGCGTATGCGCGCACGCAGTCTTCGGTACGTTGTGAGTTACCACAACTGTATTCACATTTTGAATTCATTATGCACACGTGAATCTTATATAAAATAACTGTTGATTTTTGTTTAGGTTTTCAATAACCTTGACAACAACCTGAAAAGTTTGTATACTCTTCATTGTATAAGACAATTTTGTGTATGAAATATTTTTATACAGGTTGTGTGGTTAATTCATTTGTCAACCAAAGAATGGGTTCTAAAATATGTACCGGTGATATATTAGTCAGTACTTGTTCTGGAAGCTACAGTGAATTTTTCAGAGGTTCATATATCATATCTAAAACTATTTTATGTACCAATTTTAATTGAAACTTTTGGCCAATTTTCCATCCTAATGCTTCAGGTGGTATTAAATTGAAATAAAGACAATGAAATACAAAGGTGATAATTGATGGTTTGTTTTGCCTAATATCGATCCTTGCATTGCTAGAGTGTAACATTACTATAGTTATGTATTGGCAAAAGCGTAGAAATATTTCACTTTATGTTGCATGTACTTGTTTTCTGTTTCTTTTATTTGAGACATTGGCAGGCTTGTTAATAGAATCTTTGAAAGTTTGTTACTGTTTGGTTGCATTGGTTTTGGATTTTCCAAATACATATAATATCCCCAAATAATACATTAATGACGAGCGTGGACACACATGCAAGAGGTTCTCTTCCCCGCAGGACGATAGTAGGCCATCACAGGATCGTCAGATTCTGTCTCGTCAAACTGAACCCAAGACTTGTGACGAGAATGAATATTTCCTCGAATGAGTTCATCGTCTTGCTGGTAGACCAAAATCTCATAATCACCGTTATCTGTCTGATGTTCCACAATGTAACCAGGTGACTGATTTTTGGTACGTACCGCATGTGATTGTCTCAAGGTATTCCAGATACACACGAGGGAACGAGATATCAGATGAAGTTTTTGCCATTCACTTTTGGAGTGGCATGTCATGTTGTGGTCTTCACCAACTCATTTTGCATATCTGAAGTCATATATGGGTCCTCTGATAGGTCATTCAGACATGCAGTTGCAATAGCTTGCCAATTATCTCAATGAAGTAATTTGATGGGTGTTGATCCTTGAAACGTACCCAACAGCGATAAGTATTGGCTGTATGAGAGTCCAATTGTGATTTTCCAAATGATTAAAAAAACGATGAGATTCTAGCATCACACTCCAGCTGATCAAGAAGATCTAAGACGTCCCTGAAACCA